TCTTTAAATAATACTTTTATATCTATTTTGAATATTACAATTAAAATAAATTAATTTATTGTGTTAATAGAATTATTCATTATTTTTGAATAAAACTTAAATATAAATTAAACTAAACGATGTTATAAATAATTTGTACAAATACATTTATTTACACATAACAGTGAAAGGAAAATATAAAAACATCATTTGAAAAAGACAAATAATACGAAATGGGTTATTGTTAATAAACAAAAAGTGAATTAAAATAGGATTAAAATAATTTAGAATACCTTTAAATAATAAACAAAATAAAATAAACGTCATTCAACAAAAACAAAAATAAATATAAAATAAAAAAATAATATTTTTAAAATAAAATTAATTAAGTGTTAATAGATTTTTCATATATTCTTCCTAGTTTAGCGGAGATTAATCTCTTCGCTGTTTAAAAAACAGTAATCTTTTTGTTTAACTTATCATTTATGTTTTTTGTAGGAATATGAGATCACTTCTTTCTTTTATTTTTTCTTATTAATGTCTTCTCATCCTTCTTCTGCTTATTTCTTCTTTTTAACCATTAGTTTATTTTCTGCCTTAATTTTAAACATTTTCTTTTTCCTTTTTTCTTAATTTTATGAATGAGAGAAGAGAGTATTTCATTCTCATTATATTATTATGTTTAATTTTCTTTTAGTCTTATCCACACTTTAGTACTTCCTTATATTACATCATGTAATATTCTATCATAATATCTTGCTACACCCTTTGCAACTTTACCTAATACATTTCTAATTTAAATACACTGTCATAACCAGAAAATAACCATTAAAATTGAAGTTTGAATTGTATTAAAGTTTGTGTGTGGTGTTTCAGACATGCCACCATCGTTCATAACGAAAAATAGAGAAAGAATAAAACAAAAATTTATAAAACTGACCAATCAAATACAAATTAAAAAGGTTTAATTCTCAATAATTTGATAATAAATATAATGCAACATCAACAGAATGAGACTATTTCACATATATTCGACTGTTTTGACAATGAGAATTTAAGAATACTTTTACACATGACATAGAGACATTAATTTCTAATTATCTTAACACATACATTGGAAAAATCAATGAAAGATTAGACAACTTTTCTCAATAACTTAATCAATTACAAAACAAAATGAATGACAATGAAATGTCTGTGATAATGTTATACTCAATGGATGAAATTGTTAAAAAATGAAAAACTACATGAATTTACTGGAAACAATGACTTTTGAAAAGATAAGAAAAGAGAAAGAAAAGGCAAAACAACCAAATGAAGATATTACCAAGAGACTAAAAAAACAAGGCAACAAAATTGCAACAACTACTACAAACATACTTTTTCATCATTTAATGATAGAAGATATTTTTGAAAATACTCAAACACTAAGTCATGAAGATAAAGAATTAATTAGAGGAGTAGTTGAAGAAGAAATGACAACAGAATGTTTGACTCAATATGAAAAACAAATAAGTTTCTTAAACAAATCAAGAGGTGTAGTTTTGAATGAAAGAAACACTACATCAATGAGTGATAAAGAAAGTTGTGTTATACATAAAGAAAAAAAGATTGAGGAGAATAACGAAAGGAATAAGCACAATGGAAGAAATGTTACAAATAGAAGAATGGACAAATAGAAAAGTAGGAAATATAATATTTGATTCAAATATTGATGATTGGAAAGTTGATACATCAATGTTTGGAGAAAGAATAAAGAATATATAACGGTTCTTATTGAAGATGAAGAAGGAAATAAATTTGGAGGATATGTTAATTCTAAAATTGATAAAGTTGGTGGTTTTATAAAAGATTCAAAATCATTTGTATTTTCATTAAAATCAAATGGAAGGAATGAAGAAATTTTATATTAAAGAACCAGAATATGCATTTTATTTATATAATCAATCACATGACTGGTTGTTTGATTTTGGATATTGTGATATTACTATTGGTAAAGAAAATGATAAAACAAGATCATGTTGTAGACAATTGTCATTTGAATATGAAGGAATATCAAATGCACTTTGTGGAAAATATAATTTCACACCAAAACGAATCATGGTAATTGAAATGAAATGATTCAATCTTGATTAATTGAAAATGAAATAAAAAAGAATAAAAATAAGTCAATGAAGAATATGAACATTTCAGTTTGTTCATCTGCCAATGAATGAGTAATGAATGAATATCAGAAACATTACACAAACAATAATACAAAATCAAATAATGAAAAATCAAATAATAATTGATTATGATGAAGTAATTTAATAAGAAATATAATAAATAATAATAGAAAGAATGAAATAAAATAACAAGAAAGAATAATAAGAAAAGAAAATGAAATAAATGAAGATATTAATAATAAATGAAATTATATATAATATAATGATAATGATATATTCATTCATAAAATAAGAAATAAAGAAATGATAATTCAATGAGAATAATTAAAATAACAATCAAAGAAGAAGATAAAAAGAAGAAATAAACAGAAGAAACAAGAAAAAAATTCAAATAATAAATAAAACAATGAAATTAATTATTTCAATGATTAATGATGCAATTAATATTAATTAATCAATGAATAAATGATTAATCAATTAACATTATATTAACCATTTATTTATTACTTCTTCTATTTTTGTTTCATTTATTTTATGAATTAACGTTTTTAATTCTATTCCATATTCATTTATTGCTGTACCATCTCTCTAATATGTTAATTCCAATTTCATTTTCTCTGGTACAGTAGTACATCACTGTTCTAATTATTTCATTAACATATTCATTAATCACACTTATTAATACTTCATTCAATCTTTGTTTCTATCGAATTTTACAAATGAATAAAACAAGAGAATAAATTGTATAAGATATAAAAAGTATTATAAATGAAGTATGTTGAATAAATAATAAGATGTTGTAAGAATATTAAAGTGATAATAATTATTCTAAATTATGAATTAATAATTATATATAATTGTAAGTATCATATAGTATAATAGAAATGATAAAATGAATGAGAATTAACAAGAATTATAAATATATTAAAACAATAGAAATAAAATACAAAATAACAAATAACAAATAATTATATTCTATAATATTGAATATATTCAAAATGTAAATAAATAAGAATAAATTGATTATTGAATAATGAATGAATATAATAGAAATAAAGATAATACCACACTCTTGATAAAATAAGTAGAAATAAAGAATTTAAAATCTATATATTCAATCAAATAATATTCATGCCATTTATTAAATCATTTGAACAATATGATAAATATTAAAAGTATGAAAATCAAATAGTAAAACATAATAAATAAAATATAATACAATGATGGAAATTGATTAATAAGAAAAAAGATAAATTGAAATAATTACTGATTAGAATTATAAAATGTATTTATCATAAAAACAAAATGAAACATAATAAAACAAATTCTAAATATTTAAAAATGGATAATATAAAATAAAAGATGCACTATCCAGGAATCGAACCTGGATATCCACATTGGAAGATGGATTTCTACTACTAGACTCTTTGTGCTTCCCATTATATTTTTCATTTCTTATTATTTCTTTATATTCTTATTTATTTTAATAACAAAAACATTCATAAATGCAAAATATCTTCCAAATTAATATGTTATTATTAATAATAAATTCTAATTATCCATAATCAACAAATGAAACAAAATAATAAAATATCAATCAAATAAAATGTATTAAATTATTTATTCATTATTTATTCATTATTATGTTATTTGATTTTCATATTTATTATTCTTAAAATTGTATATCTCTTTATTCATTCCTTTTCTTTATATTCTTTATTTCTTTCTTCTTTTTTTTTACAGATTTTTTTCCAATTTCGAATATTCAACAAATTTTAATACCATGGCTATTGTGTAAAACCTTAGAGTCTTGTAAAGAAAAGCAAACAAGACATAAAAATCCAAGGTCATACAATAAAAAAAGAAATGTCAATAGCAATAAATGGCATAACAATTATAATAATAAAGGTAAACGATACATCAAGGAAAAAGGATTTAGAAGACGAAAGATACAAAGAAAAACAAATAAAAACAAGGTAAATACAATAACAATAAAGATTATACAAATAACAAATAAAAATGGCTAACAATAAATGAGATACAAGAAAGAATAAAAAGAATAACAAGTGAATGGAAAGAAGGAGAATACAAAGAAATACTTAAAAAATATGAAGGTAAGAAGAAAAAATGGTATGATATCCTCCAAGAAGTATATTCAATTAAAAAGAAAAAGGTAATTGAAAAAACGAAAGAAGAAATTAAAAAAAAAACAAAGGATTGGGAGGAAAAAGACATTAAAACAAATGAAGAAGAAATTAAAAACAAAAACCCAATTAAAGAAATGAATGATAGATGTAAAATTGCAAGAATAATAAATGAAACAGAAAGTATAAAGAAAGTACAAGAAGAAATAGAAAATAAAGAAGAAAAGATAGAAGAAGAAAAAGAAAAAGAAGAAATAATTGCTCTAAAAAATCAAATTACTGAATTACAAGGAAAACTTAAAGAATTAAGTATGAAAAGAATGGAAGAAGAACAAGCGATTTCAGAAGAAATGATGAGAAAAGCAAAAGAAATAGTTAGGAAAGAATTTGAAGAAGAAATTACAGAAATGAAAACACAAATTAAAAAGATTCAAACGAATTATGAAGAAATGAAGAAAGAAAATGAAAAATTAGAAGAAAGAAATTTAAAGTTACAAGGAAAAATAAATGAGATAGAAGGAAAGAAAATCACAGAAGTAAATAATAAAGAAGAAAAAATCCTTGTATCCAAGCTAATAAAAAGAAGATGGAAAAAGAAAATGAAGAAATGAAGGAAGAAATTGAAAAGTTGAAAAAGAGAAACAAAACGCTAGAACAAAATGCAAACACACTAGAAAAGAAAATTGAAATGATAGAGGAAAATACTAAAGAATTAAAGAAGGAAATAAGAGATAAAGAAAAACAAATCTCTGAATATCAAGAAATTGCAATTAAAAACCAAGAAATTGCAGAAATAACAAGAGAAGAATTAGATAACACACAAAAAGAAAATGAGACACAAAAACAAATAATATCAAAACAACAAGATGATATTGAAAATTTTATTTCACAGAAGGAATTAGAGAAGAAGAAAACGATGACACTTGTGATAAATACACAACCAGTACTGAGGAAAGCATCATCAGGAACGATGGAGATGAACGAAACTACTCCTATGAAAAAGATAGTAGTGGAAATCGAAGAGAAAAGCAAAGCACTGATTGTCAAAAAACAAGAGATGATAATCAGACAAGAAATACAACAAACCAAACAAATAGAATTTTAATTGAAGTGTTGTATTGTTTTGCAATTAATTGGTTGAATAAGAAATTATATAAGAAATTAAGATGGGAACAAATTGAAAGCATAATAAAAGTGACAAACATTAATGTAAATAGTGAAAAAGAATATATTAAATATATTAAAATATCACATAAAATAAAAGAAAGCATTAAACGGTATATTAAAATGAAAGTAAATGATATAATAGAAGGAAGAGTAGAGTGTGATTCAATAATAAAACATCATATTAAAGAATAACTCTACTGAAATTGATGAAGAATACCTTAACACTCTCATCAATAAAGTGAAAGAAATGAAAATAGAAAAATGTTCAAACATTAATTACTACTTTCAAAGAAAAGAAGCTGACCGATTAATAATGGAAATTAATAATAGATGGGTATGGTCAGGAAGCAGAATGCAGGATATTCAAGATGATGTGAATATTTCAATGGTTATGCACCTCTATCTCCAAAATAAAATAATAAGAGATAAATTTGATGAAATAAAAGAAATCCTAAAGAAAATAAATAGACTAGAAGATTTGGTCAAGGGAAGGAAATGGTACAGAATAAAGTGCATCATGAAATTAAAGAATATGATGAAGAAGGAATAAA